CGGGAACATTCATGAAAAATCAGTTCATCATTACACAGAATTGATCTAGTTCTCAGATGTACTGACATGAGGGCAAGAGTTAATTTCCCATCCCTAGGATCTGATGGTCTCAAAAAGTAACCCTCTGAGGGCTTCCCTGGTGGCGCAGTGGTTGAGAGTCTGCCTGCCAATGCAGGGGACACAGGTTCGAGCCCTGGTCTGGGAAGATCTCACATGCCACGGAGCAACTAGGCCCATGTGCCACAGCTACTGGGCCTGCGCGTCTGGAGCCTGTGCTCCGCAACAAGAGAGGCCGCGAAAGTGAGAGGCCCGTGCACCGCGATGAAGAGTGGCCCCTGCTAGCTGCAACTAAAGAAAGCCCTCGCACAGAAACGAAGACCCAACACAGCCAAAAAAAAGTAACCCTCTGAGCTAAAACGGACATCACTGAGACAGTGAGGGAAATCTCAATATGCGCTGTATATTTTATAAAATATTTTATCAATGTTAAGTTTTCCAAATGTGATAATTATGGGGCTCTGGTTATGTAGGAGGATGTCCTTGTTCTTAGGAGACACGAGCTAAAGTATCCAGGGGAGTATTTGGATATCTGCAAATTCTCACAGGTTCAACAACAGAATTATATATATGTACATATATATAGTATAATTATTACGTTATATCATATTATACATAATGTATCAAGTTATATATATGTTAACATGTGTAAAAATTAGATATGTGTCTAATTAGAGAGAAAGCTCAGGCCGAAATGTTGCAAAATGTTAACAACTGGTGAAGCTTCACTGGGCCACTTCGCCAACTTTTCAGTTGAAATATTTCAAAATTAAAAACTGGGAGGAGATGGGATCGGGCGTGTTCAGGGTGGTATGGTCGAGGGGTGGGATAGGGAGGGTAGGAGGGAGACACAAGAGGGAGGAGATATGGGGTTATATGTATATATATAGCGATTCACACTGTTACACAGCAGAAACTAATACAACATTGTAAAGCAATTATACTCCAATAAAGATGTTAAAAAAACCCCAAAAAACTTATGATTACCAGGGGGTAAAGGAGGGAGGGATAAATTGGGAGATTGGGATTGACATATACACACTACTATATATAAAAGACATAACTAATAAGGACCTACGGTAGAGCCCAGGGAACTCTACTCAATGGCCTACATGGGAAAAGAATCTAAAAAAAAAAAGACTGGTTATATGGGTATGTATAACTGATTCACTTTGCTGTACACCTGAAACTAACACAACATTGTAAGTCAACTATACTCCAATAAAAATTTTCTTTAAATCATAAAACAAAAAAATTGGGGGGAGAAAAATAATTCTAGCCCTCAGACAAGCTGGGAAACCTCCAGTCAGTCAAACCTCCCTGCTGCCTGGAATAGCATATCTCCCCTCTCCCCGTCTCTTCCCTCCCCTTTCCTTCCTGCCCCAGCTCCTCTCCTCTGAAACAAGGAAGAGAGCCAGCTAATTTAGCGTTTAAAACAACACACCCAGTGGAGAGAAAAAAAACAGATGCGCAGGAGACTCAAGTTCGAGGCCTGGCCTGGAACTCGGGGCTGTGGGCGAACTTCAACAAGCCACGGAGGACTCAAACCGGCTCCCCAGAGAGGCCCCTTCCAGCTCTGCCCTTCCCTAATTCTAGGGAATCCCTTAGTTAGAGAGAAAAAAAATCAGTTTATCTTATTTTTGTGCAGCAGCTCCATAGCAAAGGAAATACCATCTTCTTTTTCCTTGAATATGCCCCAAAAGACCACACGACAACACGAGAAGGGAAAGGCCCACTGACTGGCTCCCTCTCACTGAGCCCATCTACTAGGATCCAGCTCTGGATTTGCCCAGGGCACAGAGGTGGCTCTCCTACATCTGCCACCGGCCTCATCACAGATCCTACCTCTTCCCTTTCTACCTCAAATAATGACACGAAGAACTGGACCTCAGGATTCCAGGAGACCTTCCAGTGCCAGACCCCAGGCACTGGCAAGTGGCATGGGGACCCTGGCAGTCGAGCTGGCCCTGGGACACCACCTCCGTGTCTCCACATCGCTGGGGTTCATCCCTCACTTTGCAGTCCAGGAGTTTTGGGGGTTAATGGAGAGCTATCCTGTCCTGGCTTTTAGAAAGCCTAGGGCTTACAGTACCCACTATCAAGTGCCCTTGGTCCCGGGCTGGGGTGGCAGCAAGGGAGCTGCTGCCAGGTTCCAGGGGAGCCAAAGGAAAGAGGAAAATAAGGCAGCCGGACTGCCTCTGCTTGCACAGGCCTTATCTCCACTCGTTTCATCACCCCATTAGACACCCGGCTGGGAAAACACTTGGTTTACAAAAATGTTGACGTTCAGTAAGTGAGCCTTCATCTTCCCAGGTGCTGACAGCTGACAAAGGTCAGGCAGGAGGAAGTGCCCCCTGCACAGAGCCTTTACTCAGAGATCATTTCTGCATGTGGACCCACGTCAGTTCGCTGAGCTCTGCCTAGAAATGGGGGGCTGTGCTGGCCGACGTTGGGTCTCATGCCCACCCTAGAAAAGCAGGTCACCCTCTGACCAGGGGAAGTCATTTATGCCAGGGTTCTTTAAAATGCTAAGTTTCATCTATTTTCCACCTGGGTCTATTGTCCATCTTTCCCTCCTAGAAAGATGGCAGTTCCCTTTCCTTAGAGTGCTATTTGGCCTGGTTAAGCCCAGAAATGGGATTCCCCACAGGAGCAGGTGAGTCGGCATCACTTGCCTGAGGAACAGAGAAACGGGATGCTTTATCAGACCTTTGACTCCACTCCCAAGCCTGTCCCATGGCACACCACCAACCTCAGTGGAGTGCAGCCCACTGGCAACAGCTCAGTGACTGCAAAGAAAACCAGCCCAGCCCAAATCTCTACCGTCTGGGGGCCGTTTCTCCTGCCCCACACCCTGGGCAGTTTGCAAAGGGAATTCGAGGAGTCTAGGAACTCGGGCCCCTGTCAGCTGGACAGGGTTGAGGTGCAGGACTTAACTTGTGCATGTCAGTGCGCAAAGCCTCTGCCTTAGAGGGAAAGCCAGGGGTCCTCAGAGGACCCTAATCTGATGGAAACATCTGGGTAGAGAGTCCTGGCCCCCAGGCATTTTGCACCATCACTTCAACTCGTGTTTGCTTAAAGCAGAGAGGCTAGGCTCAGTCACAGAGTGAGTGGAGGGGACGCGGAAATCATGTTAGGCAGGGCCCCCCACCCCTCGCTTAGAGCTGAGGACCTCGAGACCCAGAGGAGCTGATCTGTGACGGGGAATAATTAAGGTCTGAGGTACCTTCTTAAACTGACAGAAACACGACTGCATAATTTTCCCTTTGGCCATCCAAGCATCTTTATTTAAAAAGTCAAGTCATGACCATATCCTGTTGATTCATTAAAGCCAAATTAAAATTAAACTTCTCCAGGCAACCCTGCCTTTGTTCTCCCAAATTATACCATTCGAGGAGTATGAAGGCGGAGAACTGCCATTTACTGGCTTAATGTCTGGAATTACCTGCATTTCTCTTTGGAGGGGGACACATCCAGGATGTTTTTGCAAGCCTGCCATAAGACACAACACCCTCCAGCCAAGCATCCCATTCCACGGTCACCTCACCCATTTGACTCTTTGACATGCCTCTCCGAGTTTCATCAAAATGCTCAGACAACTCTAAGAATTCCCCAAAGAGGAATTTCTGAGGTTTTGCTGATTCCATTAAAACTGCAATGTTATTCCGTCCCCACCGCCCACCCCTAGTATAAATATTTTTAAGCAAGGAGACAAAAGAGATGGGTTTGAATATCTGTGCTGGTGTCACATCTCTGAAATGTCCTAGATGGATCACCTGAGTGTTGAGGGGACTTTTGATTAATTGTGAAGCAGTTGCAAGTAACCTGCTCTTAGGTTCAGCGAAAAAAAAGGAAAACCCGTGCCCAAAACAGCTTGCAAAAACCCCGTAAGAACCTGCATCTCATCCACGCTGGAAGCGGCCACCCCAACCCGAGTCTGTGGTAGGAGAATCTGAATCTTTGAGCACCAATGGCTTCACACAAAAGCGAGCAACGGGACAGAGTCAAAGCTGTGTGTTTCCCTCCACTCCCCAAACCCAAACAGCCATGTGCCATGGCGCCCTCCACTTCATTAAACACAAATCCCAACGTTGTTTTCTTAGACATTTTTCCTATGTAACTGAAGGCAAAACACGTTAAATATTTGATCTCTTCTTACTCTGATGAGAGCTAGCAGGCTCATAAATAATCCATTGACCTGGTTCATTTTTCTGGACAAAATTGATCATAAAAATACATACACACAAGCCTTTGTAATGTCTGTCTCTTAGAAATTCCACCCTCTGAAATTCTTTAGAACCCCAACTGAAAAAGAAATTCATTATGCAGAAGACCCAGGGCAAAAAGAAATGTGTTTCTTAGTGTTCTTTAGCTCCAGAGATCCTTTTCAAAAGTAAATTTGAATATACACATTTTTCAAGCAACTGATGGTTACACACTTCAACCATGTAAAACAGCTCGCTGGAGTTTGGGGTTTCACATAAATTCTGAATGACTGAGCATGCATCGGCTCTGCCAGGGAAAACTACCCAAGCGCACGGAGACTCGTCCCACGTATGTGTCATTCAGAGATTTCTCTAGATATTTGGGCATTTGCGTCCACCACGACTCTCCCCCCAGAGATGCCTGCACACAGCCCCCCTGCACGCGATGGCCGTCAGTGAAGAGCAAACAGAAGCCATGGGTTGAAAGTAAAGCAACTTTTCCTCCCGACCGCAGGACCGTCCTGAAGGGCTTTCCTGGCTACTGGGCCACCCGAAGCCGGGCAGCCGGGGACGAAGAAGCGCTCCGAGCTGGTCGCCCGCCCGCGTCCCCTTGTCCCCGCGGCCGATTCCGCGCGCGCCCACCCTGTCCAGAGCCCCCGCGCCGGTGCCCGGAGAGGCCGGGCGGGATGAAGTTCGGGAGAGAAGTGGCATTAGAAGCCTGGAGAAAAGCGGACCCACCTGCCGGGAGTCCGCGGAGGCCGGTCCGGAGCTTCCGAGGCGGGCGACCCTCGCGCCCTCGAGGCACCGGGGCGTCGCTGCCTGTGCCGGCGCCGACGCCCGCGCGGCCGTATTTGTACTCTCGGCCCCTCACATGGTCTGATCTCTAGATATCCGCCGCCAAAGAGCTCTTAAAGAATTTTAAGAGCTCACTTTTGAGCCGCAGAAACTTTACGTTTCCCCGCGGCTGCGGCTCTGCGTTCCTCCTGGGGAGGATGGGGGATGGGGGGGGTGGGCGCGCTCACCGGGGAGGGGCCGCTGGGGGTGGGAGTGGAGGGGGAGCCGGGGCCCGGGGAGGGGAAGGACTCCTTCCCCGCAACACACACACTGACACACACACACACACACACACACACACACACACACACGCACACTCGCTCCCCGGAAGGGGCAGCGCCCTGGGAAGAGAGGGAGCCGGGGGCAGTGAGGGCCGGGCAGCAGGCCGAGAGGAGCTAAGAATCCTGACCCTCGTGTTCGTTAAGCTTGCGGGGGAGGAGCTGCTCCACAACCCACAGGTGTAGTTCCTCCCCCAGCAAATTGCTCCCAAATTTTTATTTAGTTTTCGGCTCAACGTCACTTTCTCAGAAGAATCTCTCTTGACCACTGACACCCCCCCCCCCACGCCGCATCACCCTCACCCCGCGTCCTGCCCTATTTTCCTTCCTGGGACTTAGCCCCTGGCTCTCCGTCCGGCTCCACCGCTGGGAGGTGAGCGCAGCCAGAAGGGACCTTGTTTAATTCCTCGCCCTCCCCGGTGCCTCCAATACAGCCCAGCCTAATGGCTCACAGTAAATACTTGCAGAAGGAATGAATGAATGAAGAATTCTTTCCCATTTTGTTAACCAGCTACAGTTAAAAGCAATATCAGAACAGTGGGTGGTGATCTGGAAAACGTAGTATATGCCGGTGGTGTTGGGCGAGTGGGTGAATTGTTAACAATATTTTAATTATCTGAAGAGGGTCAATAGGAGCCTATTGTGTTGAACCATGAGAATACATTGCCTCGATAATTTTTTAAAAACTTAAGTTTAATAGTGAACTTAATGTTATTATATTTTCAGTAAAATTATTTTTTACATTTGAAAAGAACAGCTGCAGTACTTGCTCTGTGATGTCCCTGAAGCTGAGATGGGAGGGTGAGGGCTGACCCACCTACTTCTCCCTAGAGGAGGCCAGGGTCCCAGCCAAGTAGAAGGCAGAACAGAAACAACAATTGCAAGTTTGCAGCCCCTGTACTTGGACAGAACGGAACCCAGAAAGCTGAGCTGGCAGCCAGCTGAGTTGAGCTGGAGTCTGCAGGGACTGAGTTGGAACAACTCCGTTCCCGGGCGTGGGCGGTGCCCCAACCTGGGAGGAATCAGCGTGAGGTTTTGGCGCCACCTAGACGTCAGGGTGGCAATTGCAAGGAAAGCGGGACGGGCTTCATAGAGCACCGGGCTGCTCTGGTGAGCTGGCTGGCGATTCCCCGGGCAATCTTGGGCATTTCATCCCGTGGCCAAATCCCGGGATGACAGGGTCCACATTAGGCAGCGCCTCCCTTCAGATGAACACAATGTGTGAGCACTGTGTGTGAACAGGGACTACTCAAGTGTAAGGTGTGGTTCTGAGGAGGGGACTGGGGGCAGTGGGTGACTCCAGCCCTTGGCTAAGGCTCTTGTCTCTCCACCCAGTCTGTCCTCCACGTTGGGTCAACGTGACTTTTTTTTTAAGGTTTTTTTTTGATGTGGACCATTTTTAAAGTCTTTATTGAATTTGTTACAATATTGCTTCTGTTTTATGTTTTGGTTTTTCAGCCACGCAGCATGTGGGATCTTAGCTCCCCAGCCAGGGATCGAACCCACAGCCCCTGCAGTGGAAGGCGAAGTCTTAACTACTGGACCGCCAGGGAAGCCCCCTCAACATGACTTTAAAACACCATTCCAGAGTCTCATGAACTTGTTGAACACTCCTGGCCTTCTTTTGAGGACCTAATACCCATTCCTGCCCAGCCACCCCGGCCCCTCTCAGAACTGCTGTTTTGCTGAGGGGTGCTGGCCTAGAGAGTGGGACTCCCATGGACCTCGGTTAAATTCCAGCTCTGCCCCTGTGCTGTCCGTGGGGGTTTGTTCCCACACAAGGTGAATCCCTTCATCTCAGCCAGTGCGGCCTTCAGCTCCTTTGTGTGTAAAATAGGGATCACAAGGATGGTGGGCACCGTGCAGCCACAGGGAGGGAAGGGGCTGGTGTGTGCAGTAACAACAGGGCGCTCTCCGTCCAGGGAGACCCCACCCTCCCTCCCTCCTCGGCCTTGGACCACCCCAGGCCAGCCTTCCCCCCCACTCGCTCCCTGGCTGAGGGGTGGTATCAGAAAAAGACATTGCAATTACGCAGACTGGACCTTTCCCTTATTCCTCACCGCCTCCCTGGCACAGTCCATACAGAACTATTGCAGATGGTCCATCCTCTCTCTACACATGTGCTGTCGCTTCTTCTTGTCCCTGTGGGTGTCATCCCACAGCTGCCCCCCTTGCCCTCAACAAATCCAGCCTCTCTCCTTCCTAAAGCAAAGTCTTCCCTGTCTTGCTTCCCATGCTCGTTGCCACATCTGCCCTTTCTCCAGCATCCAGACTCCCTCCCTGGTGGAGCTCCTTAGTTCCGGCACCTGGTCCCACTGCCGGGGTGTGGGGGGGGCTCCACTCGACCGCCCTTCCTCGCCTCCAGATCAGGGTGGGTGGACAGACATTATCCACTGCCCAAGAGAGGGCAGCCCTGTACCCTTCCCAGCTGTCCGCCTCCATCAAAGCTCCTTCCTGACTGAGCACCTGCTCCATGCCAGGCCCCGAGGAGGACACACCCTCTGCCCTGGGGGGTCAGGGAGAAGGGCTGTGCTGAGCATGGAAGGCATTTGGGAGCCCTGAGCGGGAGAGGCGTTGACGAAAGCAGTGTTCCCGGGGAGGACTGACATGGGCTAGAGGAAGCAGACGGGTACCTTAGACCGTGAGTGCAGGTGTGAAGCAGGTGTGAGGCAGGCAGGCACCAGCACACACAGGGAAGAGACGGGAGTCAGACACCGAAGGACAACCTGTGGGGCTCGGCGGCTGATGTCTGGGGAAAACGGTGCATCTGTCAATGATGCCGTGAACCTGGGCGACCATGGTTCAGCAGGTCTTTCTCT